TATATTTATAGCGCCAGCATATTCTGTAGCACTTTACAATATCTATCTATCCATTTATCTATCTATCTATCTTGCAGCCTGGAGAGCATAGATCATTTCCCTATCTTGCTCAATGATTGCTCTAGTCTTTGTACCGTACGGTCCTCCATCTATAATGTAAATTAACATCCTACATTTTTACTAACTGAAACGTTTAACACACTAATTAGAGGCATGTTAGGTCTATGATTATCAATTTTTTTTCAGATTTCATTCAATTAATTTAATTTAGGAGATTTCATCGTCACCACCTCTTGCAACTATATGCCGAACCCACAAAATTTATTCAGTCACCTCACCTACTGCTCTAACTCATCATTAAGGCCTGGATATCCCTTTTTCTCAATTGTTTGACTTATAGTGAGGTCTTGATTCATGGAATAGTGGTACTGCCTAATGACATTTATTGGATTCTGTACTTACTCAGATTAATGCCAAGCAAACAAACTGCCTCAATAACATAAGGCTATACTCAGTCTATTTAGGTAGTTGGTTCTGTCTGGTCCTATGACTTGATGTACTGAGTAAAATATTGTCTGTGTTGGTGAAATGCTGTGAGTGATGTTGTGTTCCTGAAAATCTCTGTTCATGTTTTCCTGTGTTTCAACATACTTTGTTCCTGTGATTGTTGAGTTCTTGCCTTGCTGCCTGCCATTTCCACCAGCTGTCCCCACTAATTTGTTACTAGCTGACATTAGTGGAAGGACTGAACCAATGCAGGAACACGGTACTATGGATCTTCTTCCTGTGCTGCATATCTCTTACAAGTGTATTCCCTAATTTACAGATTTTGGCAGTGGAGTCTTCCCTGGATTCCTGTTCAGTTCGAAACTTGTAAAAAACTTTGCTTTCGACTCTCTACTGCAACATCTTGACTTTTGTAGATGATTGATGCCTGCATTATAGCAAGTTTATATCAACAGGCCAGCAACATTACTCACAGCAATGTATGGCTATATCGACAACCTGTAAAAACGTGCCCAAGATTGCGAGTAACTTATTAGTTGTCTTCTCTTGTCCATTCTTCTTGGTGTTTGCGTATTTGATTTATATCTTTACTCTGACCTTGCCTTGATTACATAGGTTTCACATTTTTGTTTGCCCTTTAACCCTGACCTCCACCTGATTAACTGATTGTGCAAGAATTTTGCCTGCCTTGACTTAGGCACATCAGGTTTCTCTTGATGTATCAGATTTGTTTGCTTTAGACTCGACAGTACTTCTGTATTCGATTCACTCAAAACTTTGAGCTTTGGAAATAAACCCAAATAGCTGTACAAGGTGGAAGGTGGAATACCTTTTTGTATGTACTAATGAAACTCAATTTATATCATTTGGACCTTCAGCCTATATCATAATAAATTATATAGTATTTTTAAAATTGCCTTTGTCTTGTGGTATTTTTTTTCAATTTGTTCAGCGCTTACTTTTTTTCAAAATTGAACAAAGGAAGTATATCTCACCCAGCAGTCAACAGCATTGTTACGATACTTCAAACAAGAAATTCTGTACAGCAGAATGCTGGGGACTAAAGCTTTGTTTGACTCCAGGGTTCTCATTGGCTCCTGACATTACAGTCCTTGTTAATCAAAAGCTGAGGATTGATAAAAATGGATGTAATTCCAAGATGGCTACCACCAAAGAAATTTAAAAAAAGATAGTATATTTTCAAGTGCTATTTTCAGCAAATATATTACAGCTTGGTCAGAGGATAATGAGATTAATCTGTAATATAACATGACAGGCGCACAGTCGGATTTGCCGGCATATTCGCTAACCTTACCCAAACCCCCATTAAAACACGGACACAGGTTATACTGTTGGAAATAATTCGTCCACAGCTTTATTAAATTATTAATAAAATAATTAAGGAATAACAAATGGGGTCATTGCCAACAAATCTTAATAATGTTAACCTCCCTCATATACATAACATACCCCTAGCAATGACCCCACAATAATAACAATAGATAACAATCTAAATAACATGTTAACACAGAAACTGGCCGCCCAATTTGACCACATTTCCACCAGGTTAAATTGTAGGGGTGTACCGAGACACCGCTACCCACCATATCGATTGTAGGGGTGTACCAAGACACCGCTACCCACCATATCCATTGTAGGGGTGTACCAAGACACCGCTACCCACCAGTTCCAGTGTAGGGTGTACCAAGACACCACCACACCCCCAGGTTCGGAGCCACCGACGGGCTCGAACCTACCAACCATGTGCAACACTGCCCAATCCACACTAAACCTCAGGATGCCCACTTTCTCCTCCATCTACCCTCCGATTTAACCAGGCCATTCCCCGCCGCTGTGAAAAAACAGGAAATCAACTAACCTAACCAAATACAGGGAGGGTGGGAGGGACAACTGACAGGTAAGCTTAGGTTCAGTTAAAATGGCCACTTCATATAATGGCTGGTATAAATACTCCCCTTATGGCTCCGCCCTACCCAGCATGCTAGCTGTCACTAAATTCCTGTGGCTGCTATGCCTACCTCCTGGCTCTGTCAAGGCCTATTCATCTTAGCTGCGCTGATCCATGGGCTACATGACAGGCGCACAGTCGGATTTGCCGGCATATGCGCTAACCTTACCCAAACCCCATTAAAACACGGACACAGGTTATTCTGTTGGAAATAATTCGTCCACAGCTTTATTAAATTATTAATAAAATAATTAAGGAATAACAAATGGGGTCATTGCCAACAAATCTTAATAATGTTAACCTCCCCCATATACATAACATACCCCTAGCAATGACCCCACAATAATAACAATAGATAACAATCTAAATAACATGTTAACACAGAAACTGGCCGCCCAATTTGACCACATTTCCACCAGGTTAAATTGTAGGGGTGTACCGAGACACCGCTACCCACCATATCGATTGTAGGGGTGTACCAAGACACCGCTACCCACCATATCCATTGTAGGGGTGTACCAAGACACCGCTACCCACCAGTTCCAGTGTAGGGTGTACCAAGACACCACCACACCCCCAGGTTCGGAGCCACCGACGGGCTCGAACCTACCAACCACGTGCAACACTGCCCAATCCACACTAAACCTCAGGATGCCCACTTTCTCCTCCATCTACCCTCCGATTTAACCAGGCCATTCCCCGCCACAGCTCAGGACTTGACACCTAAAGCTCCTGAGCGACCCCCACCACACCGGAATAAGGCCTGTTGAATGCCTTCCTGAAGGCCCAATTTAAACAGATCACACCTTACATCCGAAAATGTACCCCATCCCACCTGGAGTACCCAGGGAGCTTTCCTCCCAATTCGTTGTGTCTCACTGTTACACCGCCCCCACATCTGATAAATACCGCCATCAATTTTTTATTAAGTCGTCCTCGACACCGAGCTACCACGGCCGGGTACGTAGTATGTCTCCAATGTAACCGAGGAACCATCTCGGACCGCACCACCACCACACCCGTGGCCAGCTCCCATAGCCGGTCCACTTCCCTCTGCCTCCACCTGATCAATTCCTTTTCCGGGACCATGCCAATATCCAGAATGTCCTGGACAGTACCCCTTGTTACCTCCCGGAAAATTTTCTCCCCTAATGTCTTGCCACCAAAATCCCCGAAAACCAAAACCACTCCTGCTCCACCAATTCCAAAGGAAAGCCCAGTTGCGTTCGAACCGAAATGCGGCTCCCATCTGTGCCCCCTAGATATAAGAATGACCCACCAACCATGTCACCAAACCTGAAACGAAAGTAATTAGCGACAAGGCATAGCCCCAAACACAAACCCATACGTCTATAGCCATTAAACCAAATAGACTGGCCTGAAACAGGACTTAAACCATACTGACTCCCACCTGCCTAAACATTTCCCTAGGTCCTCACTTAAAACCAGACGGGGTGCCTCTGTTACCGCCATCATCCGGGAAGAATGGGTCCCAAAGTGCCCGGGATTCAAACCCAACATTGTCAAACCCCTCCGAACAAACACCTGCGGGAATTGAATGGTGACAGCACCGATCTGTCCCCTTTTACCAGTAAGCCACCCGGGATGTCCGGGCAAAGCTCCAAGTAGCATGATGTGTTTAACACGTACCCCTGACCCCGGCAGGGAATATAGCTTTACCAAACCTCCTTTACCAGACACATTCGTTCTTGAACAACCCTACTGAATCGTTACCTTAACCGACTGAGGTTCGACAACCGAGTGTAGAACCCCCCAACACCTGCCCGAAGGCACTCACCAGTTCCCCAATCCAAATTGCCCCAAGCCTCCGAGAAGGCCAACGCAAGCAAACTCACTGCAAAAGTAGAGTAATACACCACCAGGCATTGCGTTACCCAAGGAAACCCGCCGCCCAGCCCCGACATATTTCATACCTCTCCGTAAGACCCGCGATGCCCGACGGATGTGACAACGTTCCGTCACTTCCTCCCAATCAGTCAGTTTGAACCCTAACGACAATGCCGCCATGCTCCTGTCCATTGCCGATGGAGCTAACGCTGAACGAACAAACGGCTTAGGAACCACAGCAAGGTATCCCTTCGCCCCTCCTTTGACTGGGCCCCCACAGTGAAACCAACCGCCTTGTCCCACATATCTCAAACATTCACATAGGCAGTCCCTGTGGCCGGTGCCATAGGATTCTGTATCGATCCTCCAAGCATGGCATCTCGAGCTGCCACATTTCTTCCAGACTGGACTGTCCCTCCTCCCGCGCCCCCTGGGGCCGCCATTCGCAGCTTGTCCCCTTGTGCGTGAGCCAAGTAACCAGCCCCTACCTTCCACCAACCAGGCACGTGGCATGCCTGCACCCGATACCTGAACAGTGATATGAATCGCCGCCATCGGCGTACCTCCTGAACCGAGGACCCGGCTGGATGGTAAACCACATGAACCCCGTCGTATTGTGCGTGAATTATGACTTTTCATCCCTTAATCCTTCACCTTTTAGAGCCACAGCCACTCCCAATGGAAATAACTCAAAAGATGCCAACTTCGAATAAGAGGACTTACCTTTCATGCCTCCCACCACCGCTCTGCGCACCACCTGCCTTCCAGGTATGCCCCGGAATCTATGTTCCCAGAGGTATCCGTGAACAACTCGATACCACCCGCAAAGGCTCCACAAGTAGCCTTCTCCATGAAATGGCTACCGACCCAGTCCTCGCGACTAACCCGACATGCAACTTGAAACTGCCTTATGAACAACTGCAATTTCTCAGTGACCTTCTTGGACCTGCGAACCTTCAGCCTGAACTCCCGAAGTGCAGTCAACTGAACCCCAGGCAATCGACACTCTCCTACCACCGAAACAATTTCCAGCCCAAGCAAAGATGTGCGGTAGGATTCCCGCGACCATAAGTTATGTACACAACGGCCCGGCCCAGCCGAGCGCAAACAGCAAGCTATCTTACAGATAATGTACTAAGGAACCCCTTTCTGATTCCTCTTTCACCTCCCACTCCCAGACGGATCCAACTTCCCGAAGTAGGAACATGAATGGAACTGCCCCTTGGCAAGTAGAGGTTACCAATAGGAACCTGCAAACATGCAACCCAAAAGATGGAAGGGTCGCCAATAATCGAACACGTCCTGTTCCCCCAAACCAACTCGGCCGAATGATGTCAACGATACAGAACACTTCCGCGGCAATGTCCTCATTTACCGATGCCCCTTTCGGGTGCGATAAGTTTTGTATCGGACGGAATTTGCCCGCCCATTTCTAGGGGACCACCCCCCATGGAGACACCCACAGGTCCGCTAATGGCGCGGAAGTTCCCCCATGGCCTTGATATTCGCCCACCACTTTTCCTGGTCCCTCGACTTTGAATGGAATAGCGTAAACCCCCACAACAATCCCAGCCATAAAACTAGCGCATTCATGAGAGGCATACTGCCTTAGCCACAGCAGCAATGCAATGATCATCACTGGTGCCACTGAAGCCCTGCCGAGTACCCTTCCTGCCTTAGGTTTTCCTTTCTTGACGCGTCAGTTGACACCGTGACTCCCACCGCCTCCGGAACACCCGTATCGAAGCCTACCCGACGGTCCCCAGTTGCACTGACCTTTCTTCTGTCCAGCCAGCACCGCACCTCCTGGGGGTGCGCTGGCAGCCCCCGGAAAGAGCGCATTTCCTGCACCATCATTAGGAACCACCCCTTTTAAATCAATGAACTCCTCGAGCGGAAGACAGGAATTTTTTTTTTTTTTTTTAAATCCCCTTTATTAAATCTTATCCTCCGCCTTCAAGTGCCCCCCCAATGTCCCTGCGAAGGACACGTGCCCATTTTGTTGCGCCGCGCCTGGAATATTGCCACACATCTAACTGTTCTCGGTACCGGTACACCGTATTCCCCTTCCCTTAGCTGGCACGCCGTCACCACCACCCTTACTTCGGCCTCCCGACTGCGCTCTAGTGACCCCACCCTTCCGCACCGCGGGGACGAACCCTTTTTTCCTTGATCATGACTCTAAAATTATTTTTGCAATTTAAAAAAGTGTGGTGTGTTTATTGACTCACCGCTCGAACCCCCGTCTGCGCTGTCCTTCCATCCACCTTGCCAGGCTCTGGAGTATCCGGTGGATGCCGACTCCTGTCCACGCTGGTCCAGCCTCAAGCCTGTAGAAGTAACACTCCTCGACCTGCTCCTCCATCCCTCATCCGACCTCCCGCTGCTGCTGTGCCTGTCATTGTCGTTGCGCTGCTCCCTGCCGTACTCACACCTGCTGATGCTCCTCCTGTGTTCCTGCTCCTGAGAACGCCCCCCAGGGGGCTCCCGCTTGCCTCTGTGCCTTACGTCCATTTCCACCCGTCCATGTCCTCTCTTCTGCCCTCTGCTTGCAGTACCTGGCCTCTCCCAGGCCGCCTCATCCACTTGTGGCCCCTTTAATTAATCCTGGTTGCTGGCCTTCCCCTCCATAGCTGCTCTGCTGTGCCTGTGAAGACTCCGCCTGCTGCTTTCACTATCCCCTTCCTTCACCTCTGACCTGACCCTGGCCCCATCCAGGGCCGCATCCGTCTGTGTCCCGCAGACCTGGACCCCCCCGCCTGCCCATTGGGGGGGACGACCGCTTTTACACTGCTGGGCCCTTGCATCATTCCCCCCGTCACTCAGGTATGCCACCAGGGGCAGACTCACCAGGACGCCTCTTGCCGCTCTCCCTGCCTGGCAGCCATCATGTCATGCTGGATTCCGCTGTCCTTTGTGCTTTCCCGCCCCCCCGCCTTATTGCAGCCTCATCCTGTGCGGCCTCATCCTGACCTGCCACCTTGCCTGACCAGCGACGCGTCGAACATACGGAGCCAGCCACCCTCCAACTCCTGCCTGCTTTCCGACCTCATTTTCAGCCTTCCCCTTGCCGCATCCTGACAGGCTCACAGGCTGCCGAACTAACGATGCCACTCACAAGCTGCCGCTGGGGCGTCCTCGCTCTCCTTGCTGGCCACTGTTCCACCACCGCGTGGGGGGGGGGTAGCAGACGTGTTCGGGGCCCCCCAGCTGCTCCTGCAGCCACCAGGAGTTCTGTCTGAGGCTGATGGGAGTGAGCATGCAGCAGCAGCAGCTCACTCCAGTCTCTCCTGTACCTCCATGCTGCCTCTGTTCTTCTATGCTGCCTCCATGCTGCTGATGGGAGTGATCATGTAGTAGCAGCTCACTCCAGCCTCTCCTGTATCTCCATGCTGCCTCCTGTCTCAGTACTGCCTGTTCTTCATGCTGCCTGTTCTTCTATGCTGCCTCCATGCTGCTGCCTTCTCCCTCCAGAGCAGGCAGCTTTCACAACTGACAGGTAAGCTTAGGTTCAGTTAAAATGGCCACTTCATATAATGGCTGGTATAAATACTCCCCTTATGGCTCCGCCCTACCCAGCATGCTAGCTGTCACTAAATTCCTGTGGCTGCTATGCCTACCTCCTGGCTCTGTCAAGGCCTATTCCTCTTAGCTGCGCTGATCCATGGGCTACATTATAATTTTAAACTAATTTACAATAAGAACATTTCCATGGAGAGGCATGTGCTTATTTATGTAAAAAACAGTATTTTGAATAAAAACTCTCATCCTATTGAATATGTAAAGAGTTTGTTCTCTTTTCATCTATATAAAAGTTCTCAAAAGTGAATTTTGCTGAACTGGAAGCTGGATTTGTAATAATGAAAGTTTCATTGCAGAGTAAGAAAAACTCACCAACTTAAAATTAATGGACGGTAGTCACTAAATCTGTAACCATAAAGTATTAGGCTTGAACTTGTGACTTTTCAATCACAGATTTTCTAATACAACTTAGTGAGACGCCTTTGCAAGGCAGGTGCTCTGAGCAATTGCTGCCTCTTGAGTTTAGTGCAACTAAGCTAACCAAATCAGGAAGTAACAGAGCCTATTGTCTGCTTGAAAAGCCAGTGGGTGTAACCAGTATAATTTATAAAAGTGTCAATTTGTTTTGAAACCTGCAATTTTTCCAAAATAGAAAAAAAAAAAATTAGTCATAGGGTTTTCTCATGTATACCCCGAAGAGTAGTGGGATTATTTTTTACTCATAAGTATCTGTAGGTGAATAAGTTCACTGTTGTATTAACTGTAAATATAGATGTTTTTTTTTTTGTTTTTTTTTCCTGTCTCATTTCTTCTTTATTTCAGTGAGTAGTTAGGAGGGTGAACCATTTTGGGCTTTTGTTATCTAACAAATTAGTTTCTAAGACTTCTGCTATAGGGTTTTGCCTTCTTTCATTTAGCCCGTAGCCAAATCCATTTACCTCTCACATTTTGTCAGTGGACACTTTATTCATCTTGTTTTTGTGTATATGCAGATATTCCCATATGACTATTCATTTTATATACTTATAATTTGTTATATTTAATCATTTTAATTTTAGCTTTATTCTGCAGCCCATTTAGCTGTATTGGTTTATTTACCCAATAGCTTCATTTATACTATTAGATTAAACTCACCAACATACTTATATTTCTAACAAAAATATGGCAAAAAATATTAAATTTCATATTGAAAGAGCCACAGTTCACTCTTTAGACAAAGAAAGGAAGCTAAAGAGGTAATATTCTAATGCAGATGGAAAGCTAGTTATAGTCTGAGAGTGTCAGCTGATGCACTTAACCCATCATCTCTGCCAAGTCCAAGAATTCCACATTGACGCTGAAGATTTGGCTGGTAGAAGAGTAGCAACACAGACTGGTGCTATCAACACAACTTTGTGGTTAGCCATTAAGTGGTATAGCCCGTTCCCAAGTCCATTTTATCAAGCTTTAACTGAGATTTGAGTTTAGACATTTTCATATGCCAAAGAGCAATGTTTTAGTGAAAAATTCCCATGAAACTGTCTATGCAAAAAAGTATCCAGTAGGTAGAGTAGGTAATGATTAATACTGCAAATTAGTATTAATTTATTTCATCTTGAATCAAAGTTGTCCTAGTTCAAAGGATCAAATAAAAACTATCTCCCAAGGTGATAAATATCCACAAACTCCAAGTAATAATACTAAATAAAATGTCCATGATATTAAATAAAGTGTTAGCATAGCAAATAAATAAAAACACAAACTCACAGTTAATATTTTCGTGTTTATGGACATAGCTTCCCTCTGGCATGTCTGAAGCCAAAGATATTTGTTTTTAATTTAAAAGCCTTGAAAACTTTGCAAATAATTCCCAATAGCTTGGTATTTGTATGAAAACTTTTATTGAGTATATTAAAAATTAGATTCCTTCTGAGTTCACAGAAAATCTCTGTGCAATGAAACAATAATAGAAAGGTGTAGATGAAACCAATAAGAGCACTTCAAATATATCTACTGTGAAAATACTTTGAAATAATTTACATTTACACTTGGAATGACAAGATTAGCAATTTCTCATATTTATAAAAAAACAACCATGTGATAAGCTATTTATCTTCCATGATTTAAAGTGGACCTGTCATGGTTGTCATTTTTAGGTAGAATACACAGGTCAAATAAATTAACATACTTTTACAGGATGTTTTCTTCTCATTAAGACTTTGTGCATGTATGTGAATACATAACGGATCTTTATGGAAGATCCTTATGTTACTGGAATTTACCACATGACAGCTTCATATTTTGCATAATTTTTCTTTACTAACTCCACAGCAGCAAAGAAAAGTAATGAGAAAACTGAGAACCAATCATAAACAAGCAAAGGTTATAAGCGGTGTGTATAACTGTATAAAAGTACTTCCTCTTTCTTTGCAGCTCCATCATAGATTAAGTACAGAGTTTTGGTTATCATCTTTCTGTTTTGTATTCACCTTTATATTTCCTA